TTTCGCGAAATGGCTAGGCTTTTGCAAAGTGCCGGATTCGCAGATTTGCGGTAACTAGACAGGGTGACAATTTGGAAAACTCTCCACCCCTCCATGTTATCTTAGTAAATAAACGAAGATATTTGAAAAAATCAAAATCGTTTCGGTAATGATCGGAGGGGAAATCACCAAGTGATCATAGTTGCAGACGCATCCCCTCCCAACCCCTGCGCTCACCACCAACTTTAAATCTTAAATTAGTGACCCCCCATGTGTGATACGTCGTTGGAAAGCTCTGAAAAATGCTTTCCAACATGACAAATAGCAATACATTTAGGTGTAATTGATCGTGCGACATCAAAAAATATATCTTGGAATAATCGTGTTTTAAACTTGAACCTCCAAAGCGACTCGACAGCAACTCATTTTGAATCGCAATTTATATTCTATTCTAAACTCTTGTCGAAACTTTTCAAATGTTGGTTTTGCAATATTTCGACAGTTCTTGATTATTCTCTGTTTGTTCGTCTATTTTTCGTCGGTTGCGTTTTAATAGACAGATTTCAAATGTATATATAGTTTTTATGTTTTTGCAAATTGCTGCACGATAATTTACTCACAGCTTAAATGTAATGTCTATTGGTATGGTTGGAAAGCATTTTTTTCAGAGCTTTCCAACGTACGTATCACACATGGGGGGTCACTATTTAAGATTTTTTAAAAGTTGGGGTGGCTGGTGCGCAGGGGTTGGGAGGGGGTGTCAGTCGACCAACTATGTCATTGTGATTCCCCCTCCGAATTACCGAAATCGGATTTTGATTTTTTAAAATATCTCCTTTATTTACTTAAGATAGGGGGGGTGGTAATGTTGTTCAAATCTGTCACCAGCTGTAATATAATTTCTTAAAACGCAGTCGTTGATTACTTTCTTGCAAATTTGTAACCAATCTGCAGGGGTCATGTAGCAAAAGGTGGCGTGAAGCGTTTAAAGATTGTGCAATTCTTTGTCCGGCATCCCTCCGTGTATGCGATCGTTTGGCCATACTACCTTTTTAATTAAAAGAAAAATCCCGTACATCACCGTCCCAGAAAACCGTGCCCTAAGCATGACATTGATAAGTAATATATAGTCGCTACTGGTACCACTATTTCAATGCCATACACCTTAATTCCCAGGAAATGCCGTCATCCGCATCTTGTAGCCAGAGACGCCTTTATTTAAGAACAATATTTTTTTTTGGGGACAAATTCATAACTTTTAATGGAGTAATTATTGGGTCACTGTCCTTTTTCGCCTTTTTAGAAGCCCAAATAAAATCGAAATGTTAAGTCCTGCGATTATGCAATAGATAACAAATGGGTGAAAAAAATCGTATACATAATCCAATTTATAAACAGGAAATGTTACACGTCCCGTCGTTAATGTCGCATGGTAATTCTTGTGGTGCAATCCCTTCTACTATTTATCTTGTTGTGGGAATCTATGACGATATGGGTGCACCACAGATGCGATATCGTGGGGGAACTCGGTGTTTGAACCTTGATATATTTTGCATTTTCAAGAACTAAAAGTACCGCCTCCTCCATGACACAACGTGTTTCAATGCCGAAAAGTAAAACCAATGAAAAGGGGCCTGATCGGTGTAAATGATAACAATTAAAAACTTAATTTTGTGAAATTAAAACTTTGCTAGTGCAAGTAAAATGTCGCGGGTGCGGTTTAGCGAAGAAGACATACGAATAGTTAAACAGCAAACGTGAGAGGAAATTGCAATATGAGCAGGAGTGGGTAAGTTTTCGTAAATCAGGAAGTATAAAACTCAAGTCAGTTTTACCACTCAACGAGGCAAATCACACTAGCTCTAATGTGTAGATGTAACTGAAATCATGCGAAATTGTAATTCGTGGCCCTCATAATACAAAAAAAAAAATATGACGAATACAACAGGCAAAGTAAGAAACGGAGCTGCAGTTCGTACTTTGCCTGCCTCTCTATTTCGCGAAATGCCTATAAACATGCAGGCAAAGTGCGAAGGCTTCGTCATTTCCCACAGATTGCGCATACAGCGTTGCCATTGGATGGTAAACGACTCGACGATTGCGATTTAATTTAAGTACTCCATAAATATTCCGTTCGCGTTTAGACTGCATTTCTTCTATGGGTTTTCTGTTGAGTCACGCTTTGGATTTACTGTGGAGAATATATCAAATGGGGGAAGGTACTATAACGCGACGGTTTTACGTTTGGCACAGATGCACGCGCAATCTGTGGAAAATAACCAAGAATTCTCACTTTGCCTGAATGTTTAGGCATTTCGCGAAATCCCTAAAGAGAGGCAGGCGAAGTGCGAAGTCGAGTTCCATTTCTCACTTTGCCTGCTGCATTGGTCATTTCGCAAAATGCCTAGGGATTTTGCAAAATGCCGGATTTTGCAGTTTGCCGTTAACATATATAAGATCCATCTTCTACAGTCCCGGTCGCCCCCCCCCCCCATACTGTGGCCATCCCCCTTTTTGTTTTAATGAGGACTAGAAAAATGCTGTGGAGTCAGTTTGCAGAAATACCACCAGCATTTTATTAAAGGCATAACGTTATACAAACTTTGAAATATCATGTTAAAAGATCGTATGTGGAAAAAAAATGTACTTGCTCTCTAACCCCTCTTCTTTTCTGGCTAGGTGAAAACGAAGAAATTTTCCAACAATTCAATCCAAAGAAATATTTTTTGAAATTTCGTTATTCAATACCTACTTAAATTTAGTTGGCGTTTTCAGTTTTAAAACAGCCGTAATTTAGCCACAAGTGTCACATTTTGACACACAGGCGCACTATTTAGTGCGCTCATTGGACAAATACACGTCTAGTGCGCCAAAGACAGTCAATTTGCAACTTGTCCCATAAATAGCTAAATTACATAAAATATCATTCAGTGTAATCTAGACTTCATTTTTGTAGGCAACCCATTTGCAATGTGTTTGTTTACATAATTATATTGATTGCTAAAAAATGTATTTCACTCCGTTAACATGTGGGCGAAAGTTGTCTTTATGTGGGATCTTGTACTATAACAAATATAAGGCAAAATTTTCTCAAAACCAACAACAAACGCATTATGCATGTAACTCAAACTATCGTTATATAACTCTCGCCAGGAAAGATTGCCGGTCACAGCACACCTTGTGTCGATTTACAATCTTTAAGATGCGAGCGACTTCCGGAATAGGATCGTGCCAATGTTGAACGAAAAGTCTTTTTGTTCAACATTAACACGATACTATCCCGGAAGCAAATTTCCGTTCCCTATACAAGATGGTGATCGGTGGCACAAATTCGTATAGGATATGGAAGTCAGGGCCGTAGTCAGAGGCTCCGAGTGAGGGGGGTGTATGCAATAAAAAATGCCGACTTCAATAAAAATTCAAAATAATACACCGTACAACATTAAACGACGGCATTTTAACGCTGCCCATTGTGACCCTATTTTTTCCAAATATATACTGTCTGCTATATCTTTTTCTGATTACTTAGAACCAATAAGGCAGTTAGCCAATTATCCGCCATAGAGGAACGCAAATGATTTTTAATTAAACTATATAATAAATACCAAAGTAATAATAATTATTATTATTTTATTATTATTATACAGAGTGCTCTTTTTTTGCGGCTGTCATGGATATGGATTCTATTTTATTTCTATTTGCACGAAAACCGAGTCGAAGTGGGACGTTTAGAAGACCTTTACAGAGGAATTTGATAAATATGGCCAGAATGGCATAGAACTTTTTTTTTGCGTTAGAGTCGCTAAATTTCACCTTATGAACTTTCATCAGAGTTATTTTTCTCTGACGTGCCATAGCTTTTAATTTACTACTTTGATTTTACCAAAATACCTTATTATTCAATTTTCACGACAGTGCTTTAGAAATTGCAGTCAAACTCATTTGCGGATTTGCTTTGGTAGTTTACATTTATAATCAAGATAATTAATAAAAATGTCGTTTTAAATGTAGTAAAGCGTTCTTTTGGCAAGATTTTATTATATATTATTATTAAGTTAAAAGTAGTAGGTAATCTATCCAAAACCGATTTTTGTCTAAAAAAAGACACTCTCGTGACAATTGAATAATTAAGTGTTATATTTAAAATGTAATATAGAAATCCATAGTAAATTCTTTATTAAAAAAATCTAAAAATTCAATGTGACCCCTACGTTCAAAACAAATTCAAAAAATAATGTCATACTCTAAACCGCCCATTTCTGAAGTATAATAAATAAATAAATAAATAAATAGGTATACTCGTTTTTTTTAAATACAGAATTATTAAAACGTACAATTCAGTTCTTTTTAATTATTGAAACTAAAAGAGGTATCCCACAAGTGGTTTCAATGATTGATTCGCATTTTAAATTTAACTTTACACCAATTTGACCATTAGTTTTCAACATAAGAGATCCCATCGTCAGGCGCTAAAAATGACCACCCTGTATACTTATCTACCATCTATTCCTATCGCAACTTTTAAACCCATGCAAACATAACGGCTAGAAAAATTTGCGGAACATTTTTAAGCGACCTTTAACCATGAAAGGTAATGGATCTACATCCTCGTAATATCAATGAGAGTAACAACCAATATTTCTTCATTTTGCTACAAAACGGTTTTCCGGCTTACCGGCGTATTTTACGCAATTTTTTTCCAATATTAATTTAATTAATTTTCTATTATTGACGATTAGCGAATTTTCGCCTGAGTGCCCCGACATATTACCACCCTGAAGTCCCTTCCGCACGATGGGGGGGGGGTGTGACACCCCCATACCCCCCCCGTCAATCCGGCCCTGATGGAAGTAGTGAATGTATTTACATATCCTATCCGATTTCGTGCTCGTGATCAATTGTGTGTAATGTGAACATTGCACTATCCTCATTTGCATTTTCAAAACTTTGGAACCAAGTAATAAAGAGCATTTTGGATACAGACAAAAAATAATGAAAAATATGTATATATTTTACGATTTTTTTGGATCTTGGTAATTCCGTTGGACAATCCATTGATTTTGTAACTTTTGAATAATCTTTGATCCAGTTAACTGCATCTTCTTCGCAAAATTCGGGTCTAAATTTTGTTCGCAGTTCTACATTTTTCTTTGCGTCTTCTTCACTTCACTTCTTTTATAACTTGACACTGTTTATCAAATATGCTATATTCCGCTAGCAAATCACGAAATCGGATAGGATATGTAAAAACATTCACTGCTTCCATATCCTATACGAGTTCGTGCAACCGATCTCCATCTTGTATAAGGAACGGAAATTTGCATCCCGGAACTCGCTCACATCTTTAGAAAAACATAGATTGTAGACCGGGGATCAAGTGTTCTATGACCGGCAATCTTTCCTAGCGAGAGGTTTATATTATATTTGTGAAACATCAGAGTTTCAGTTAGGTACTTCTTATCGTTGGATTTAATCAGGGGCGGTTTTATACATCTACTCGGGGGGGGGGGGGGGGGGAAAATAAAAAAGCTACAGAATTGCAGATGCAGAGGTGCGCGGGATTTTTTTAAAGTAGCTTTGACCCAATTTCAGCTGTGTTTTTGTTAAACTATCTATTGCCGCATTAATTTCCGAATACCTACCCAACATTCTGTAGCACATTCAATTAACTTAACTTTCCAAATATTATCCCAATCCAATTTAAGCATGAACTTAAAAAAAAAGCAACAAAAAGCATTTAAAGCGCCATTGTTCAAAAAAATCAAAAAAAAGTAAAATAAAAATAGGCTCAAACGCTCATTTTTCATGAATCGTATAGATCCAAAACTAATAACCATTACATTCTGCATTCAAAATTAACGTGTATAAGCAAAATGCCATAAATCGCACCATATTCATTATTATGCGGTGGTAATCAGTGCTGAGTGCAGTCGTGAGTCGCAGTCTGGACAATACACGATTCCTCCCCCGCCGGCATTATTTTGCATTTTATTCAATTTTACTTTTCCGTCAGGTGGTTAGGTCTATTTAATTCGATTATTTATTTAATAATAATTTAATCGTTCGATCGTCATTACAATCATGGATAAGTCAAAATTAACAAACAATAATATGTATAACAATTGGACAAACAAAGTGTGTATTACATCAACTATAGCCTAGAAGTATAAAAGTGTAAGTGATTATTTATTGTCCCTCTTGTTCTAGGCCCTCAACAGGCTTGCGCCCAATTACAGAGTGACCCGCATAATGCTTTTTAGAGGTGCCCCTGCAGAAGGTCTTAAGTTGTTCTATATTACTCCGGTATTTACCTTAAGAATTATGAAAACTGCAGGAAAACCTAATTCGGAGTAGCCGGCAGAACGCTCGAAACTGATTAAGGAAATTCCCATCTCTGCCACAGATGAAAAATTATGTAAACCTAATGAAATAAAAAAACAATTGAGCAGTATGTTTAGGGGGGGGATCGCCCCTCCCCCCTTAAAAACCGCCCATGGATTTAATTAAGTACCTACCTATATTGTAGCCAAAGTTTTTTATGTAAAAAAGTAACGCCTTATTACCAAAATTTTTTGACACCATATGTATGTATACAGTGTTCCCTTGAAAAAATATAATTTTTTTTGAAATCTTGACGACTTGTGTTCATTATTGTACTTCTATTAACGTTGTTAATAATTCCACTTATGAATAAACCTCCAAAAAATGGGTGGTAGACGAGATGGTAGGTAGAAATGATCGAAACGGGCATTATTTTTTAAATAAAGCCGATGCCCGCCGGAAATATGTTTTATTTGGGAGCTGCGAAATATGTTTCTAACCGTCTTGTTTAATTTTTTGTCTTTCAGTAGACGAAAAAGTGCAATTTTTTTGTACCTATATGTCTTATTTCATATTTGGGTGAAGTTTTCACCAGAATCCATGGGTTCCCTTAAACTGATGTGACTTTTATACTTTGTATACAGTACAAGCGAAAATGCAAGCAGTTGGTCAGGATTCATGTAAAAGTCGATCATTTCACATAAGTAGGTACGAGTAAGTAAGGCGACTCGACAGCAACTCATTTTTGATCGCCTGTTACAAGAAAGAATAAAATGATTTACTACCCGACGTAATAGGTACCTACTATACTTTTCAAAACAGAAAAATAAAATAAATATTGAGAAACATGGCACGCCATCACACTTCACCCGCCATTACTCGAGAGTTCAGATCGGAATCCCGTTCCCGACGTCAATTTTCTGCCAAGCTCCGTCGGGAAAATCCTTGTTCTTCTGCATTTGCGCAAAACGGTCGAAGTCGAGGACGTGTCATAATGGTAATTTCCTGTTCCTTGTGTGCTCGCTGGACCTCTGTTAGTTGGCATGCAGTCAGTCAGAGCTAGGATGACCATTCAATCGGACATGGTACGTGACAGTAGGGGGTGGGGGGGTTCGGAGAAACCCCCTCACCTGTGAGGGGGTCTCGGGGTTCCCTCCTCGGAAAAGCGCCGGAATTGGTATTTCGAAATATCTTTTTAAATACACTTCAGTACCAAATATAAACCATTTTGCAAAATTTTAGTTTTTTCCCGATATCTCCGAAAGTAGTCCGAATTTTTTTAGTCACAAAACTGGATTTTGTTAAGCATCAAAATAAGCCCAAATTTAAACTACCTACCTATCTCTTACAGTTCCCGAGATCCTCATGGTGGCCCTTGAATTTGAATCAGCCTGTATAGCATGTGACTAATTGATACGCAATCCCATCACGCTCCCTCGCAAGAAAGACATGCGCCACTGTTTCTATCCCCAATGATGACCACTTAGAAGTTTTGGTTTTGAAAAGACAAATTTCTTTTTGTCCATTAATAATGAAAATACTGCCCTCAAGGTAGTTTTATACACTAAAATCTTTAAAATAAATTATTACAGCATGGAAAGTTGACGGTCTCGATAAATAACGTAAATTTACAAGTTTAAATGATTATTTCTCCATTTATGGTCAGGATAAACACTTTCCATGATAGATTATGACTTACACATGACTTAATTTGAAACAGACTGTGTATATTAGCACAGATATGTATTACTCTAGGGATCTCTATAATACCAAATTAAAAAACACATTGTAAGTGGCAAACTATCGTTTAAAATATGTATATGATGGGGAAAGGGTTAAGATGTAGGAAAGATGGTTTAATTAGTTCCTCCTTTACGTAACCAAAATTGAGTATTTGGCATCTAAAAAATAAAATAAAATAGAAATATTTGTTAAAGTTTAAAGAAACACAAATAACAGGCAAACTATATTACATAAAGTTACGCTTACACTACAACTTTGTGTCTTTTGATGCTTGTGGTTGTTTAGTTTTCACCAAATTAAACGACTGTATCCTCAGTTCTTCATGCAACTCTGACAAGGGTTGATCCCAACGCTTCTCAAAATACACGTTGACGAGAAATTGACTGTTGTTCCCTGTTTGAATGGCCCATGGTAGGTAGTAATTACGATACAATGCTCTATGCCTAAAAATGCATTCATAACACTTAATAATACTGTTTGGGACATTTTACTTTGGCTTCAATCTTGTGGCCCCAAATACTGCTCCTCCAATACACATCGGTAACCGAGTCTGAATTGCCTCCACCCATTTCACGGTAACTTCACCTGGACTACTACGTGTTCAATCAATACTAATTATTACTTAAACTCACCTAACATATGAGTGGACATTTCCAAAGTTGTGTGTATCAAATCGTGGACCTCCCGATACCTTTGGATGACGTAAGCGATATTGACATCCTCAACAAATTGTACCATTGGCCTGGAGTCCGGTGTGACTTTCTACAACTGCATTGAACACGTATTCCCACAATGCTGCGACACTCACATTGTTTACTAAAAAATTACTGTATGCCTTTCCCAGCGTGCCTTCCGGGTACATCTTCAGTCTCTCCAAATCGACAGTTCTCGAATTTATTCTAGGTCTTTCGCTCAAAATACGCACCCCTTCTGGAGACGATTCCATTTTACTTCTCATGTATTTTGCCGCCTGTTCACCTTCAACACACTTAAATCGCAATCTAAACAAGTTTGAGTCTACATTTACCTGTTAATTCGCCTAAACACGCGATCATATCGCCTCGCCGTGGATTGAGTAGAGAGATTAAAGCGGATCCCACAGACAGTGTAGCCCTTTGGAACGTGTTGATGGGTACATAATGTTTTTTGCAGTCATTTTCGAAAGTATTTGTTTCACTTGTGGCCGCGCAAAAGCATCGACGGCTCCACACAGAACGGAATGATGGACGTAAAATCTGGAAGAATAATTGCTTACAGTTCTTTCATAGATGCAGGATGCAGGTATAGGTGGTATCATTTTGGGATTAAATGGTAGAACAATAGTAAAGATGCATGACATTATGTGAACATAATATAATCTATAGACAGTCTGGCAGGTTTTTTGTATTGAATCTGAATGCCAACTCCAAAGAGAGTAAAAAAATCAAATTTCAGCTATTGCGATGATTAATTTCTAGTGAAACACCTACGCAATGTGAAACGTTTATGAATGTTCCATCTCTTCCTTTGACAGTTCTGTAATGTTACAATACCTGGGTATTAAGAGTTCAGATTAGCCTAATGGGCCTCCCTCATCATTATTCTTTACGAAATGATTGCTGCTTTGCGAATTTCTAAATTTTTATAACACTCACTTTTACTTTTACTATTTACTTGTTTAACCAAAGAAATATTATCTACAGTCGTTGACGCTCCGCTACGCTCGAGGACGTTGAGTTTTTCTGACCGATTTGATTGCAGAGTTTTTAAAATGTACGTCCCGGAGATTTGGGAATTTAAAAAGTGAGTCGTCAGTTAATTTTCTCGTTCCATAATTGAAGGTGGAACATTTTTTTTGCAAGTACGACCTATAGCGTCTGATTTTGACAAAAATGTCCGCATAACATCATATATTTACGTGCAATTTTTGTTTATTGTCATCTGTGCTTAAATTTCTTTCGTTAGATTTAATTCAGGTAGTATTGAGAAAAGATAGACATACAGGGTTTAATTTTAGATTTAAGGTATTTGTAATTGTTTTTAAATTTTCTCACGTGTGTTTACGAACTTAGTAAATTTAGAATTTTGTGTAAATTGGGTAAGCTGAGTGTGTGATTTTTTTGTTAAAATAAATGCAATGACATTTTGTTTGTAAATCTAGTTTTTGTGGCCTTTTGAAGTCCAGGAATAAATAGTGGGTTGACTATCTCATTTATTAGTGTTAGCACTGAAGTTCAGCGTGACATTAGTATTTTGTATTTTTAAGGTCATACTAGGCCGATGTAGATAGTCCCTTTTACCTTCTAAATTGGAAACGGGTTTATATTAACTATTTTTAAAATTTAAAATTATTTTATTTCTAAGGCGCTAATACATTTGTACACTTAACTAGGATAAGATTCATACTTCAATCTCGTCTTCTCCTGAAGTTCCATCGCTCCTTAGAGAAATTGTCTTGATTCAGGATTCGTCTACGTGGATGTTCGAGTTGGTGGTATATAAAGTTTAGACAATGCTCGGAAATATGTAAATAGGTTTCTCCAGGTTTCAGCTTTCCTGCGTGCGTCTTTGTTGATAATGGATTAGATCAGGTCCGTGAAGTTGCTCCTGGAAGTTGAACCAATTGTGTCAATTTACAATGTACCTGTTAGTTTTTAGTTGGTTTTCATTAGTTCTGGCAAGAATGACGTTAGTTTCTCTTTGGTACTAATGTTATCCCAAAATCAAAATTGTCCGGGCGTGCTTCACTTTTCCGCGACATGTGCTAGAATTGTTAGTTCAGAGGTAATTTTGGATAAAGATTCGTTAGTTTCTGTAAGTTTTGATTAAACCGTCGTTTGTTTTTCCTTATTTCTTGTAAAAAAAAATTTTTAATTTGTCCGGGAATACTTCACACTTCACTGGCAATTAGTTGAATTGTTAGTTTAAACACCATTTTCGATTGAATGGGGTTAGTTTCTATAAGTTTTCATAAAATCGTCGTTTGTTTTCCCTTAAATAATTGATTAATCGACCAATTTATTAGAGCGTTGTTGATATATCCGTCCATCAAAAGTCATTTGCAATTAGAGCTTGCTAGGTAAGACATGGCACTCATTTACAAGATATTGTTTACACGTTGAGTGTATGAGTAATGAGTTGATCTACAGTATCCAATAAAAATGTATAATTATCGTAAGCTTTTTTTTGACGTCATATGTAGAACCTCTCGCCCCTAACCAACACATAGATTTCGACACGTTTTGTACAAACGCTCATTATTTTGTCACCAAGGAAAATTGAGTATATCTCCATTTCTAGATGGTTGATAGATGGATGTACGGGCATCATAATTACAAATTGAAACTCAGGGTAGAGCCTTCGCTACCTAATAGAGGCAAATAATCCACAATAAACATAATGAGTGAGTTTACACAACGTCAAACAATGTAAACTAACAAAACACGCAATATGAGGCTAGGATGGATGCTCTTCTTACCGATACTTGCCTAATTGCTCGCCAACTATAGGTCTTCCGTTGGGCAAATCGTTGAAGACTTCCCATTGTCCGTTTTTTGGTACGTCTTGTGAATGCTACGTAATGACCTGGTAGGTAGGTAACGATTCCGGAAAGAATGTAAGTTTTCCCAAGAATTAACATCTCCTCGGGAATATCGGTAAGCGTATATTCTATGTCACTTTCTGCCTCTAGCTCTGGTACCGTTAGGTGATCGACAACTATGAAAAGATGATTTCCTAGCTCACATGAAACAGTTGATTGACTTTCACATGACAATATGACAATATCGATTTTTGCAGTGCAACAAAACCTTCTTTTAAGAGAATATTCATATTGCTCTCCAAAACTACCATTTCTTCTCTGGTGTATCATGTATTTTACATTCGGGTCTAGTACATCTTGTTTCCATTGTTACACTAGGACATCCTTGGGGCAATTTCCGAAGTAGAGTAGCGACATTTCCCCAGCTACCATTGAAATCACTTTCTACTGTTGCAGCTGATGCGGGTAAATGTGGAGAATTTAAAGATTTGACAAGAACAGTAGTCCATAGGGGTATGCGATATGCTAATAAAGTCGGTCCGCAAGTATCGGAAAATAGTATGGATTTGGACGTCCATTGCCGGCATTATAGCTCAGTGGTATCTCTATACCAACGCTCTCGTTGGGGTATAAATCCGGAGGTCGGGTGTTCGAACCTGGTTTGAGGTGAATTTTTCATCTGTGGCAGAGATGGGAATTTCCTTAGATCAGTTTAGTTAGAGCACTCTGCCGGCTACTCCGATTTAGTTTTTCCTGCAGTTTTCCTAATTCGTAAGGTAAATACCGGAGTAATATAGAACAACTTAAGACCTTCTGCAGGGGCACCCATAAAAAGCATTATGCGGGTCACCATCCATTTCACATAAATTCTGTATAGTTGCATTATCTTCATTATCGGAGGGTGAGACTAGTAATTCGCCTTTAATTTTCTTAGACAAGAATCGAAGACTTTGTTCCATGGAGCATGGCGATAAAGTAACTACTAAAGTATAAGAGAACACTTTCTTAAAGGTTTCTAATGGTGTACTTTGTACAAGTAAGCTTAAACAGCGCAGGAAAAAATCGTGAACTATTTTTTTGAATTCGTCACATTATATACTCCACATTCTAATTTGTAACTGCATGTATGAAGTGCGCAACATCTAGTCTTATAAAGCATGGGGGTAAAGGTAAGCGGCCATCACGTAAGTGACAAAAGCGTTTGTCCAAATAGTCGCGTAGATCCTGACATTGCGCAAAGGATTTTACAACCGCGGCTTTTAAAGCAGAAGAATCGTCAACGATGACTTCTGAAGATAGCGGTGCTCCTGCTCTCTGCCATTCGTTTAACCAATTGAATATGCAATTAGAGTCCTGTTTTTCTGTAAGCACCACCGGTAATGTAATTCTACAGGGAAGAACCTCTTCGTACAAAAATATGTCTGATGATCCATTTACTCTGGGTATTTTGGAGACTAAACCCCTGTTGCATCTATGCAAAGGATAGCATAATTTCGTTGGGAGAATGATCTATATAAATATAGTTGTGATGGTGTAAAATAATGAATTACAACCTTGTCCAGTACAACATCGTGAATGGATCCCGCGTAAGGCTGTGTATGCTTCATTGTTCTCCCTTAGAAATGTTTAAATTGTTATTGTTAAATTGTTGTTTGGCCTTTCTAAGACGTCCAAATTCCTTACCATAGGGGGTTCAACATCGCCTTGTTCCATAATGTAGGTACATCTGACTGCTTCTTTCGGTACCCACTACCTTGAAACTTCAGCTGCCATTTGGGACCGCTCTACTCCAACTAAAGGTCTCTTCAGAGAATGCAAAATGTTTCTTGAATCATTTGATCTCCATTCCAATTTTACACTCTCTCCCTCTACTGGTCTAGCCAGTATCCTACCAGTAGCATCAGCACCACATTGTCGACAGTAGGCACTTATTCGGATGTATTCTTTACAAAATAGTCCATTTGGTGATACTCTACTTCTTCGTAAAGTATAAGGGCATGGTATTTTATGTCGGGTCCACAAATTGTGCATAATTTCTCGTTCCCATTTGCGAAAAGGAACCGTCAGAACAGTTTCTTCTTATGCTGATTCTATCTTTCTATAACGGTTGGTACCGGCCTTATATTTTGCCAACTTTGGGGACTAAGTATCAAAGTAAAAGTCTGCTTGTGGGTTGAATTTTGTGAAATGGATGGTGACTTATGTGAAGAAGGTGGTAGTATACGCCAATGGGTTACAGAAATACAAAAACAAATACGAGAAGAAAGCGGAAAATCATGGACGTCCAAATCCATATCTACTATTTTCCGAGACTTGCGGACCGACTTTATTAGCATATCGCATACCCCTATGGACTACTGTTCTTGTCAAATCTTTTAATTCTCCACATTTAACCGCATCAGCTGCAACAGTAGAAAGTGATTTCAATGGTAGTTGGGGAAATGTCGCTCTACTTCGGAAATTGCCCCAAGGATGTCCTAGTGTAACAATGGAAACAAGATGTACTAGACCCGAACGTAAAATACATGATACCAGAGAAGAAATGGTAGTTTTGGAAAGCAATATGAATATTCTCTTAAAAGAAGGTTTTGTTGCACTGCAAAAATCGATATTGTCATATTGTCATGCGAAAGTCAATCAACTGTTTCATGTGAGCTAGGAAATCATCTTTTCATAGTTGTCGATCACCTAACGGTACCAGAGCTAGAGGCAGAAAGTGACATAGAATATACGCTTTCCGATATTCCCGAGGAGATGTTAATTCTTGGGAAAAATTACATTCTTTCCGGAATCGTTGCCTACCTACCAGGTCATTACGTAGCATTCACAAGACGTACCAAAAAACGGACAATGGGAAGTCTTCAACGATTTGCCCAACGGAAGACCTATAGTTGGCGAGCAATTAGGCCAGTATCGGTAAGAAGAGCATCCATCCTAGCCTCATATTGCGTGTTTTGCTAGTTTACATTGTTTGACGTTGTGTAAACTCACTCATTATGTTTATTGTGGATTATTTGCCTCTATTAGGTAGCGAAGGCTCTACCCTGAGTTTCAATTTGTAATTATGATGCCCGTACATCCATCTATCAACCATCTAGAAATAATAAGC